TTCAGATTAGATTCCAAACTATGATAGCGTCTCCCAGCCGAACAATAAAAACTCACAGGCAGGATGAATCATCTCCCTTGTGCCCATAAAGAACCGGTTAGGTCGCACCTACAGTCAGAGTTTTGTTTTCATTTCACTAACAAATCCTACGACTCGACCATGTGACCCTGCTGATTGTGTAAGGCCTCTGTGTTTGTTTTTTCGCTCTGCAGGGTTGGCAGTTTCTGGCTCTCTGTGTCGGACTGTTTCTGCCGCGGCATCCTTTCCTCTGGCTGCTCCAGGTTCACCTGAAGAGACACGGAGACTCCAGGTGGGAGAACAGCCCAGACTGACAGGGAGGCGTGAAAAACCTCAAACGGAAGACAAAACATTTCAACATGATTGTTTGCAGGTCCAAACGTGAAGTTTACAGGTGCAAACTCCAAAGCACAAAAACGCAAATACAAGAGAAAAACGCCTCAAACAAAAATGGTGCAAAAACAGAAAGAAGAAGCGCAGAATCAATTAACGATAAATTAAGATTAGCTCGATAATTTCCTTTCTGATCATAATTAGTTTTTTTCCATGGTTTTAGTTGTCTTTTATTTTTATTTTTTGATTGTCATGTTTTATTTTGGATTCTTAAAATCTCTTCCAGTTCCAGTTTGGAGCCTCTTCCCACAAAAAGTCAATTTATTTCAGGAACTTTATCACTAAATCCCTTGCATAGATTTATTGCACACAGATTGATGTTTCAAAGTATTTATTTCTGTTAATTATGATGAATCTCCATGAAAATATGACATTTAAAATTAGAATATTTCATCAGATCAATTTTTTTTTTAAATGTGGGTTTATTTAATACCTGCTTGAAGGTTTTTATTTTCAAAAGATCCTTTTTAATCTGACAAATGAGATTCATCTGGACATATTTTCTACTTTATTTTATGACTGTAATAATTGCGCCCTGGGACAGATCCATTTTGAATGTTCACCTATAGCATAACAATGTTGAGGAAGTTACGTATTGATGCAAAGTTCCTCATGAAGTCAAACATTATAAGTTCTGCTCCCGTCAGCTGTGCTTGGCTTCCCTTTCTTGCACTTCCTTTTAATGGTTAACTGGCAGAGCAAAACAATGATTCGGTTTTAAATGGTTCCCTTCTCATTCTTCAGTTTATTCACTCAGATGTCAAACGTTTTGGACTCCTTTTTCCATTCAAAATGTAAAAATTGGGGGAATAAATGGAGCGATCCAAAATGTGAATGTCAGAACTCTCTAAAGGTGTAATGTTAGGTTTTCATTATTTAAGCTTCTTCTATCAAACTAGTTTAGTTTTCCATCAACTACGGTTGGTACGATTGCTGTACCAACCGTCTAGACCCCTCAGATCTTCTGGTTCTGGTCTGCTCTGCATCCCCAGAACCAGAACCAAACGAGGA